GTACATGCCATCTTCTTCATATCTTCCATCTTCCTCATTTCCTACAGCAGTATCACAAGCATGTATATTTTTATTTTGAGACTTTAGAAGTTGACTTATCATGCTTTTTAGCTCAGAAATCTCCCTTGATTCATGACTGGTAATAGTCTTCTTTAATCTGTCATACTCAGGGTTGTTGTTGCTGTTAGCTACAGCTAGATTTTCGATGAGTGATCTCCCTTGTGGTATGGTTTTTGAACTGAAATCTCCATTTCTGGCAGTGTCAAGAGAAAGTTGATACTTCTGCTGAAGTCCTCTGTAGAAGGTGCTTAGCAGGTTTGCTCCAAAGAAACCATGATGAGGGCAATCTCTCTCATACTCCTTGAATCGCTCCCAGGCTTCATAGAATAATTCTATTGCGCCTTGTTGGAAACTTTGTATCTTTTTTCTCAGCTGGTTCGATCTTGACTTGGTGTAGAAATGGTTCAGGAAAGCTGACTTGCATTCTTCCCATGAAGTAATAGAACCAGATGGCATAGATTTCAACCATCTAAAGGCTTTATCACGTAGAGAGAAAGGAAAAAGCTTACACTTCACATAGTCCACAGTTTCTGGAGTTGTTCTCACCATTCTAGAGATTTCTTCAAAAAGATCAATGTGATCCATTGGATGCTCAGTAGAGATTCCATGGAATTGGTTCTGCTTCACCAAAGAGACAATATGAGGTTTTATCTCATGATTTTCTCTTGGAACAGGAATTTGAATAGCTGATAGATTTTAAAAGTGTTGGTGAGGTGCATCGAAAACGGCAATGAGTCTATTCCGAGGCTGTCTTCTCGCAGGATTGGCAAGCTGTATTGGTCGATTGGCTTCTTTAACAGCTGGTGGAACAATGTTTTCATCATTCCTTCTTCTTTCAGCATCGGCCTGGTCTTGTCTCTTTTGATTATCAGCGGCTTGAGCAAGATTTAGAGGGACTTGATTTCACTGTTCATCGAGTTGTGTCTATCCATCTTCTTCATGGGCATCATCTAGGTCATCACCATCAATTGAATCATGGTCATTATCTCCAATGTGATCCTCCTGATCACGGTTTTAAAGGATCTTCCCGATGGGCATTAGGATTGGCCATCTTGAGCGTTCTTCGTCTGAGTTTCCTAAGTGCTCTTTCGTGTTTGTCAATCTCGTTTAAGGGCAATACGATTTCGTCAGGATCTCTCCTAATTTTCATGCACCTGTGAGCAAAGAAAGCAAAGATAAAAAGAGGAGTTAGAAAATATCCAGCAGAACTCGAAAATCTTGAGGTTTAGGATTGAAATTAGATTAAGAAGTCAAGTCAAGAGCAATAGATCCCCGGCAACAGCGCCAAAAACTTGATGTGAGTGCAGTGGACAACACAAGTATTACCCTAGACAAGCTGCAAGTGCACAGCAAACACAGTAGTACTTAGGGATAAAATCCTTAGAGATCTGTGTGTTGAGGACTCCTAACTGATGCTAAAAACAATTGTAAACCTAATCTAATAAAAAGGGGTTTTGGTTTGTCACTAAATCTAATTATGCAGAGGACTAAAAAGCTGGAAATAAAATTGGTTGAAAACTATATGAAAAACGGCGCTGGGTTCAAGATTCATCTTTAGGGTTCATGTTCTAAAACACAAGGAATTTAGGAAAGAATTTTCTATGACTCTGAAACTAGGATAGACACATGTAAGATTAGCCAACTCTCGTCACCCTTATCATCTAATCACTTGTTCATGGCAATTAACTCTCGCTCTCATGCCAGAACAAGATCAAGCTTTGTAGATCATAATCCATCTCTGCTTACGTATCCTCCGTAGGTAGCTTTTGTCTCCTATGACGGTGATGTCCATAAGATCCAGTTCAGGCAATCCAGATACAACATTCTCGTGGCTTGGATTAAACCTAGGATCGGATTCTGGGTGATCAATCCAGAATTACCGCTTTGAGATTTGGATGAATGGGAGAATCATGTTAAAAATCGAAATTCTTTTTTCCTAAAGACCTAGATGTCATTCGAACATGTGGTCCCTTTGGATTATCCTTTCACCCAACTAGGTGACTACTCAGACATGGCTGAGGTAGACATCATCATCGGTTTAGAACTAAGAAGAAGAAAAGTAAAAGAAACAAAGTTGCAGAAAAACTTCTCTTATTAAAGACAGAGTGGCGATGAAAAGCTTCTACAGATGCATAAAAATAAAACCTAAAACTACAAATGAGTTCTCTCTCAAAGAGAAAAAAGAGACTTCGTTACAAAAGACCTAAAAATGAGTATTTATAGTGTTTCTCCAAGTCTTGGGCGTCTAAGGCTCATAAAATGGGTGCAGGAAGTGTCTTGCGCCTTAGTTGGGCTCCTGAGGTTCGGACATAGGTCCACCGGGGATGAAACCTCCTGAGCCGCGGTGGAAAGAAGGCTGGCCCCGGGGGGAAGAAGGCTGGCCGCGGGTGAGAGCACTTGTGCTTGACTGGACTTGTGTTGATCGGCCTTCAGTGCATTGATGATATCTTGAGATCTAACCGTTGGATTGATTTGATTGTAAGTGTGTTGGAAATCTGGTTGTCTCCTCTATAATGTCTCCTAATTTGGGGATGATCAGACGGTGAGAAGGTCTTCATTGGTTGCCAAACTTCTGATGGCCTGAATTTATCCAAAAATGTAATTTTGCTCCAAAATGCACTCCAAAGTCCCAAGTTTCCTGAAAAGCCTTTTAAAACTCCAAAACATGGAAAACACTTATAAAACCTTTAAAACTGAGTGAAAACACGTGCATAGGATACTGAAAGTGATCCATAAAAATAGTCAAAATCAGGTGTAATCATACGCTGAAGAATATGGGGGAGAACTTCCTCCAATGACGAAAGTTCGAGGAAATGCACAAGAAGAAAAACGGTGAGTTTGTGGATCCTCGGGCAGATCATATCTACAACAACGCCATAGCAAGGATAGAAGAGTGTCAAACTCAGCTATCTCAGCAGAAGCCGCCGTTATTGCTAGGGGGTAGCTCCGTCCTATCGACACCATCTTTGACGGTTGCTGAGATGGACAAGATCTACGAAGAGATAATTTTTTTTATAATTTTTTTAATGTCTACTATTTTTCAATATTTTCTAAAAATATTATATATGTTTCTCGAATTTTTTATAGGTTGCTTCTAAAAAGAAGGGCATAGTTTTAGATATGAGATCCATCCGAGATAACCATGTCGCTTCATCTGCTTCTCATGGGAGTGCCGAGAATCCGGTGGTTCTATGGCAAGAAACCAGATGCGGACACACTATGAATCGAAGCTCGAGAAGTTTGATAACCTCTTCGAGATCTTGGGCGCAAACAATCCAACGATCACAGAAGAGTCACAGAAGATGCATGAAACAGGAGGCACCAGAACATCTTCCCCGAGGCGGCCACCGCCAGGAGCTCCTAGACCAACGAAGAGATGTTCTAATCATTTGGGGTTCATCCCAATGATTTGTATTTTTCTCTAATTTTTTTTATTTAAATTTTTTAAATTTTAAATTAATCTTTCTTTTTAAAATTCTAAATAGAAAATTTGTTTTGTTTCAATTTTAAATATGTATTTTTATTTTTTCGAAAATATTTTATATATCGATGTAAATCCGTAGTTAATTTAGTTTTTACATCAACCATTTTCCAATGAATTTATAATGAATGAAATATTACGACGAATTCCTGACGACTAAATTTCACGACGTATTTACATCGAATCATTTACGATGAATTTACGACGAATGTAAACTTTAATATACACAATAATTCAGTGTAAATCCGATATAATTTTACAACGCTTTACCATCGATTTTATGACGAAATGAGAATCTCCCTAATGATACGTCGAAATGAGAATCTCCCAAATGATACGTCGATTTTACGATGATTTGATTATATTCGACGATCTATATACGATAATTTTAGAATCGTTGCTAAATCGTCCTAAAATTTCTTTTATATCGATTTTATAATGATTATCACCGTTGTAAAAAATTCAATTTCTTGTAGTGAAAACTAAGTAATAATCGTTTTACCTTCATGTTTACAATTATTTTTGTAATATTGGATATAAAATATAATTCCGAGTTTTTACTTATGTATTGAAACGAAATAGAAATGGATTTACAAACTTTGATGCTTTATTAAGAAACAATCACTTATTCGATATTATTTATATCTTTCTTTAGTTGGCCATATGGAGATTGAAGAAGACCTAGATTACAGGCAACCAAACTGAAAAACATAAAAAAAAATCTGAGGGAAGTTTCTGTTTTATTTCGTTTGCATGTGCATATTAAAAAATATATATATCAATTGAATGTCTTTCATATAACGTAAAAGATGATTGAATGTTTTCAAAATATGAACAATCACAATTCACAAGTTAATAATGTTGTACGAACGAGCTTCCGTACTCATCTAACTCTACTTACAACTAGGCATTGAGTCAATTTTTATTTGCTTTTTTTTTTTTTAAATATACTAAGGCATCTTATTCTTAAAATATATATGCTTCACTCGGCATAATCAGATTAATGATTGAAGTTCATGTTTAATTTAATATATGCACGAAATTATTCGGTTCATTAATTTTCACACCTTTCCTTATCATTTAGTATAAAGCTGTTGGTATGTTCTTTGACTAATTGTACTCGAACTGGAGAGCATATAAAGGCTTATTTTTCTTTTTTATTTTACCGGCATGTCATCTAACAATATTTATTGTAAGCCTGATGCATGTAGAAATGTCTGTTGTATACATTTCTTTGCGTGTAAAATCATTCATGTATTTCGTAGAATTTAATGTATAGCCTTGGTTAAACTAAATTACGTATATAACAAAATTAGTTCAAAAACTAATAATACTTGACAATGTAAACTAATAATAATTCAATTTATTTTTGAGTGTTAATTAAAACAAGTACGTAGCAAACCTAAAAAAACTATCTTTGTTTTTAAAAGGATAGAAATCAATATTCAAGATACGGAATTATTACACTTTTATTTCTTAACATATGCGAAAAAACTTGATAAATCAAATCATATAACTTGATAATACATTGTGCTAAGCAAACAAAAAGCTCTAGGTCTATAAATCAGAGCAATCCATTCATTCTGAAACTAAACTGCAAGAAAATAAGAGAGTAAAACAACGAATAAGTTATCTGATTAAACCCCAAACTTTGGATCTGAGATTCTCACACCCCTTCAAAATACTGATGCATGGACTTTGCATTACACTCTGCTGCCTCTCTAAGTACCTGTCTCAAGTTGCAACCAAAGCTTTTGAATCAGAATAGAGAAAATTTCATCGATCTTAATGGCATACATTCATAACATCAATTCTTCTTGGCCGGCATTGCGTATCTAATATGAAAGCATTCTCGGTTTCTCAGAGCACAATGAAATAAAACCCGAGAGGTTTGTTGTATAAACCAAATTCTAAACGGATCAAAAGCGAGAAGCATGTATTTTTATGCCAAACCTCATACTGTCTAATGCTCAATGCAGTCTATTTGAATAACATGTTAAAACCCTTATCTTAAACTTGATTAATGTGCAAAAAAGCTTTAGATTTAAAGTACCAAATGTTACTTTAATCTTAGCTGTGTATTAAACCAACGAAACACAAAAAGTCTTGAACAAAAAACCTACAATGCAACAGCATTCTCTTGTATCGCCCATTTTTTTTCATTCTTTATCAGTCCCGATACAAATTTGTTCTTTAACAGAACAATCACAATAGCGACAGAAACCAACTTATTCTACCCAAGAAACTTCAAGAGTGTTGAAATTTAAACAAGAAACATTCAGAAAACCTACTTGCCTCCCATATTTTCTATGAATTCCTAAGAAAAAGTAACACTCACAAAGAGCACTACTAGCGATCTTGACAAGTGCGTCGGAAGGTACCGTTAGACAGCTCGCAGAAAGCCCGCAAGTTAACATTAAGGTGAGAGGTGAGTTGAGAAGCAGCCACGACACTGTAAAGAGGCAGGAAAGACTGCGTGCAACCAAGTGCTCCTAGATTTCTGAAGATCACAAGAAAACATCAGATTCAAATGTAACTTTTAATGCCAAACGTATTCAGCTCTATATTCAGATCAGAGAAGCTAAAAATATCCCAAGTATTACTGAATTACACAAAGTTATTAGCTAGAAAGTAATCAATTGTTTCCCTAAGATTAACTAAGATCACAAGAAACATCAGATTCAGCTGTGTAAGATACAAAAAATCTGATATCCGAGAGGCTACGAATCGCAAGTATTTCTGAATTACGCACAAAGTAATCAATTGTTTTCCTAAGATCAGCATGAGAAATAGATTTCTGAGTTACGCACATATTGCTCCTAGATTCCTAAAGATCACAAGAGAACAACGGATTTTAAAGAAAAAGCAAGATTGGTGTGATTTTGAATGCCAAACTATATTCAGCTCTGTAAGACACATAAAACCAGAGAACATGATGACTACAAATCTCAAATGTTTCTGAAATTACGCACAAAGTCATCATTTGTTTCATTAAGATCAAGAACGAGAAACACATTTTCCGCTGATTGTTTCGAATTCGTTCTAGAATCTATTAACCTGGGTTGATTAGAATCAACGGTCTGCTACAATTGACTATGACGGAGCTAGGTCAAACCTAGAAGGCGACGAAAAGGCGAACCGACGGCCAGGTAAGGAGGATGGGGAAGAAGGACGGAGGCGAGGAAGCGCCGTCGTCGGAGAACGGAGAGACGGTGCTCTTGCAGTGGCGGAGACGAAAGAGCGAGCAGCGGATCCTGCATTGCGCCAAGCCATTTTTTTTGTTTTCTACTGTGAGGAGAAATGAATCGAGCTCAGAGGTTTTCGCTAGGGTTTACGAGAAACTAGAATTCTCTCGATGATTTCGGTATGGTGCACCGTAGCAGATTATACACCCGTAGCCCAAATTTTTTTCTTTTTTTTTTTTTTTTTTGTCGTCAATGGATTTCATTCCATAACACAAGATTACAGTGACCATTTGATTACATTGCTTGGACTAGAATTTCGAGCTTGTTTAGCTAGCCTATCTGCTTCCTTATTAGAAGTTCTACTAATTTGCTCAAAGGAACTGTCTGTTCGTCGAACTAACTTCCTAATAATAATAATAACAAAAAAAAAAAACTTCCTAATATCATACAAAGCTATAGCACAAATGGAATGAAGCCCTTTTTACCATACCAACAAATTCTTATTAGTTTGAAGAGGGCCATACACTGCAGATGCATCTCCACAAAATATTGTATTCACATAACCCAGTCTTTTTAGATCCATAATTGCAATGCGCAATGCTTCTGCTTCAGCTTCTTGAGGAGATTGGATTGGTGGTATAGCTCTTGAGCCTTCAAGTATTTTCCTGCCTGTATAATCTTGTAAGATCCATGCAATCCCTGCAGTTTGAAATGCAGATATCCAGGAAGCATCAGTGAAACAACGATATGCCTGCGTCTCTTGGGATTCTGGAGTAATCGCATTACTATTCAGGCGATCTTGAATTAGAGTCCTCTGCACCGAATCACCATGATTACTATCCATGGCTACCTGCCAGAGTTTTAAATCTATCTATGCTTTATTAATGATATCTGGAATAAGCCAGCGTTTAGCATTGAAAAGATTGTCATTGCGATTTTTCCATAATCTCCAGCCTAAGATATGAAACAGGATCAATCTAGCTGAGTCATGAGCATTCGATTCATTAAACTGAGTGTCTCATCTCGATGTTCATTGCTATACCATCATTTGCTTTCGCAGAAGGACTATTAATTGGTGAGAGATCGCAAACCTCACGGCTTATGCGACAATGGAACAATAAATGTTCGACAGATTCCTCAGCTTCTCCACACATTTGGCAAGTACTATCAAGGATAACCTTTTTAACACTAATTGTTGAGCCGTGGGTAGAGCTTGATGAAAAGATCTCCACCAAAAATGCTTCACCTTAGGGGGGATATTCTGCTTCCAAATAGATCGGAATAAATGAGATGGGATAGCAGACATTTGCCCTCTTTAAGTCCGAAGAAGATTATACCCAGATTTCACTGTATACTCGCCGTGGGAAGTATGAATCCAAGTGATATTATCCTTTGCACCTGTAACAGAAGGTCTGATAAGTTTAATCAAAGGGATATCACTAGATTCACATAGTGCTGCTAATTTGCAATCATTCCACGGAGAAGTTCTTTGAATAAAAAGGTTCTTAACTTTAAGATGAGGATAAGAGTTACACCCACACCAGTTGCTGGGATTGGTGGATTTATGGGCAACCAAGAGTCTTTCCATACATTGATTTGACTCCCATCCCCAACATTCCATCTGATCCCTTGTTTCAAGAGTTTATTACCCTTGGGAATACTTCTCCATGCATAACTACAGGACCGTTTCTGTTTTGCTTCCAACAGCGATGTCTTAGGATAATATTTGGCTTTATATACCTGAGCTAGCAGGGATTCTAGATGCTGCATGAGACGCCTACGCTGTTTAGTTAATAAAGCAATATTGAAATCTTTAAAATCATGGATACCTAAGCCTCCAGTGTCTTTTGGATCCGTGAGTTTTTTCCATGCAATCCAGTTTATATAGCTTTTATCATTCTGCGTAGACCACCAAAATTTCCTCATAGCTGTCTCCATTTGTTTAATAATCTTCTGAGGAAGCATTAAGCAACTCATAGTGTAAGTAGGTAACGCAGTAACTACTGATTTTAATAAAACCTCTTTACCAGCAGGAGACAAGAATTTGGTGTACCAGTTTTTCATTTTATGACTACCCTTTGAACTAGATAAGAAAAAGTATCCTTTCGATTTCTCCCAATGTACTCAGGTAGTCCCAGATATTCACCAAAGCCCCTTACCTTCGAAATTTTGGTGGTTTGCAGAAAGTAATCTTTGAGGGCAGGGTTAATACCTTTGGAAAACTTTATTGCAGATTTCTGAAAATTCACCAGGTGTCCTGAAGCTTGTGCATATGCTTGACGAATCCCCAAGAGCGCATCAGATTCCTGGGTCGTGGCTTTGCAGAGGAGAAGAGAATCATCTGCAAACAACATATGTGTAATTGCTGGTTCTTCTCTGCTTGCTTTGAAACCTGTAATAACTTCATCAAGTGCAGCTTGATTAATAAGATGTGATAATCCCTCAGTACACAATAAATATAGATAGGGAGAAATAGGATCTCCCTGTCTTATGCCACGACTGAGTTTAATAATATCAGTTGGGTTTCCATTCACTAATACTGAGTATGTAACCGTAGTGACACACATCATAACCCATTTACACCAAGTGTCTGCAAAACCCAGCTTTTTCATAATGTGTTCTATAAAGGACCACTCCACCTTATCAAATGCCTTAGTAATGTCCAGTTTGAGAGCCATTGAGGGATAAGATCGCTTACGAGTATGCATAGAGTGTATCAGCTTGTGAGAGATAAGGATGTTATCCGTGATAAATCGACCTGGAATAAAAGCAGTTTGGTTTTGAGAGATGAAGGTGTGCAGTAAAGGTTTCAATCGCTCAGCCAGGACTTTAGATAATATCTTGTATGCTACATTACTAAGACTAATAGGTCGATAGTCTTTTACTTCCGTAGGGTTCTGATAGACAAGACTTTTTAGGGTCTCAGGGCTATCAATCCCCTTGTCAATGTAGCACAAAGAGGTTTATCAATCCAGATGTGGTGTTAGACACTAAGCTATATGATCAAGTTCTTAATTCAAGCAAACAAGAGTGGGTCTTGATTAATCTAGAGACAACTATAAACATAAACAGGATTAAAGACTAATGACAATGACAAATGGTGTGAATAAGATATGATGGAGGCATGAGATTCTAGACATGATAGATGGTTAGGGTGCTTTGGTGTTAAACTAGGAATGCTAATGACAATGATGAGACATGATTCAAGTGATTAAGAACTCTAATCTATGTTAATCCTCTCATGAAGGTATTAACCTCTATACTAATCCATTTTCAAACCAAATTCCCATTTGTGAAATATGAATCAATATGCATTAATAAACAGTTCTCAATGATCATTCAAGCATTTAACAAGTCATTCCCATGATGAAAAATTACTTAAACCTCTAACACAACTCTTTCAGGAATTTCATCAAACACTTTTGGTGCATGAAATTCCCAGAATCTAGATCTCAAGTGATTATCAAGGATCTAGCATAGAGAATAGTTGTTTAGAGAAATGAACCAATGAATCTAGCCCTAAGCACTCCTAATCTAACACTTTAGCACCCTAACCTACACATCTAGAACCTCATTAAGGTAACTACTCACTAATCATGATCAACACACTAGATCCTTTGCAAGATGTGTTGTTAATCATGATTAGAAGTTGATTTTGATGAATAGGAATGATGAACAAGATGGAAAGAAACTGCAAATCGATTTAAACTCTCTAAAACAAAGTGTATTAAGTGGTTTTTCACAAAAGGGGAAAAAAGACTAAAAGTAGATTAAGTGTTCTCTACAAATTAGGTCTAAAAACCTTATAAAGGAAGCTTGGGCGAACCGGGTCAACCCGGAACAAACCGGGTACTGACCCGGCCTTGATGGGCAAAGAAGGGTTTGCCACGGTCTGGTGTATCCTTGGTGTGACCGTGGCATTCCTGACCGTGTCAAAGACTTCATTGTGTTCTTGGTTCATTTTGATGCCACGGTCTGATTAAGCTTCATCTGGGACTCGTGGCAAGTTAACCGTGTCAAACGCCGAAGATATGTAAAGGTTGCCACGGTCAAACCCCCAGACCGTGGCATTCAGACCGTGCCAAAACCCGCATGTATGTGAAGTCCTTCCCAGCCAAGTATATGCTTGCCACGGCCAAGTCTTAGGCCGTGGCATTGAGATCGTGTCAAAAGCCGAAACTGTGTAGAAGTTATCTCCAGCCACTTGTTCATTTGCCACGGTCAAGTCCCAGACCGTGGCATTAAGCTCGTGCTAATCGCCGAAGGTTGCAAGATGTTGCCACGGCCAAGCCTCACACTGTGGCATTTAGGCCGTGTCAATCGCCGAACGGTTGCTAAGTTCCTCTCAGCCAAGTGTGTGTTTGCCACGGTCAAGCCTCACACCGTGGCATTTATATCGTGTCATTGGCCGAGGGTGCACAAAAGTTGCCACGGCCAAGTGTGGACCGTGGCATTGAAATCGCGGCATGTTTAACTTAGTCATCCTGGGCTGTCTGGACCATCTCGCATTCCGGAGAGTGTAATTTCCTGGAGACCTGTCCGAATTGAGTAATTCCGGTTGCAGAAGACAGAGGACTCATTTATCTCCAACTTTGATGAAGGAAGTTTCAGTGCTTGGGAAGTGTAAGGTTTCCTGGAGGGCACATCTTTGAAGCGCATTTACACGACCAGAGAGAGGCGCCTAGACATGTGTCCATTCCGGAGACCGTATCTTTCTGCTCAAAGCTCCGAATTGATTGATCTCGGATGTTCTGGAAAGAAGACTCAAATGTCTCTGATTCTCATGAAGGCCCCGGAAACTGAATCGGAGTGGAAGTGCACCGTCCTTCGCATCCTTCAAAACTGATCTGCTCGGTCCGGAATACCTGCGAGATAGGGGTTCCTTCCGACTAGCTTATCTCTCTGCTCACGCGTCCGAATTCCACGATTCCACTTGCTATGAGACCGTGCTCCAATGCTCTCCAACTTCTATGAAGGACCCGCCGTCTGAATCGGACCGGAAGGCTCCCCGGACAGGCGATTTCTGAGACTCGTTCACACCCGGAGATTTTGGCCGATACACTTCATTCGCGGTACATGGAAATGGCCGGTAAAGCTTCCCGCGGTACATGAAAATGGCCGGTGAAACCTTCCTGGCCAGCGAGAATGGCCGAAAATCTCCCAAGACCCAATTTTTCCACTTTTTCACTCTTTGCTCACCATTC